AAATATTCTACTACAATTAAGCAAGTACAGAGTGATAATGGTGGTGAGTTTGTGGTTTTTACACCTTTTCTCAAACAGTGTGGCATTCAACAGAGATTTTCGTGTCCATATACATCTGAGCAAAATGGTGTAGTTGAGTGCCGCCATCGTCTTATTGTTGATATGGGATTGACATTACTTGCTACTGCTTCTTTGCCCTTATATTATGGGAGCGAAGCGTTTACTACTGCAGTATTTCTTTTAAATCGGTTACCCACTACTATGCATGATGGCCTGTCCCCATCTCAGAAGCCGCATGGATGTTCACCTGATTACACTATCCTTAGAATTTTCGGTTGTGAGTGTTTTCCTCTTTTAAGACCATATATATAACTCTCATAACTTCAATTTTCATTCAGCATCTTGTATATTTCTTGGGTATAATTCTCTTCATCGTGGATACAAATGCCTTCATCGTCCCACTGGTCGCATGTTTGTTTCTCAACATGTTTTGTTTTATGAGCATATTTTCCCATGAAAAACTAGCCTTACTCCTGTTTCTCCACCTTCATCTTCGTCCTCCTCATTTTCTTCTTTCAAACCTGTTCCTCGACCTTCGACAGTTTCTGTTTCTCCTCACTCTCCGAGTCCACACATATCTAATATCTAACCATACCGCCTCTGTTTCTACTACTCCTGCTCTTGTTTTTCCTTCTTCCACTTCTTCTTCTCCAACTTCGCCTCAACCTGATCCAGACCCTGAACATGGATTCCCATCACTAGATGCTGCTTTAGAAAATTGTCATCCCATGGTAACTCTCAGTAAGAACGGAATATTCAAACCTCGTGTTTTCACCGCTATAGTTGATGTTGCTCTGCCTGAGAATATTGATGAGGCTTTGGCAGATTCTCATTGGAGACAAGCAGTTTATGATGAGTATAATGCTCTTATTAAATTTGGCACATGGTCTCTTGTTCCACGAGCTCGTGACCGAAAGGTTATTGGTTGTAAGTGGTTGCATAAGGTCAAGACACATGCAGATGGATCAGTTGCACGGCTCAAATCTCATCTTATTGCAAAAGGGTATGCTCAGGAAGCTGGTTCTGACAACAGTGATACGTTTAGCCCTGTTGTTAAACCTACCACTGTATGCGTTGTACTCTCTCTTGCTATCACACATAAATGGCGGCTTCGTCAGATTGACTTCAACAATGCATTTCTCAATGGCACCCTCACTGAGGAAGTTTTCATGGAACAGCCTTCAGGATTCATACGAACTGGTCCGAATGGTTCTCCTCTTGTGTGTAAGCTTTCTAAGGCTCTTTATGACCTTAAACAAGCCCCTCAGGCATGGTTCACTGCTCTACATCGTACTCTTTACAACATGGGTTTTGTTGCATCACGTGCCGACGCTTGTCTTTTTATTCATAAATCTGGTGATGATATTTTCTATCTTGTTTATGTTGATGATCTTCTCTTAACTGGTAGGAGTGAGCAGGCTGTTCAACTGCTTATTCAGCAAATGGGCTCTGTTTTTTCTTTAAAAGATCTTGGTGATGTCTCTTTTTTTTTGGGAATCGAGTTTCTGTCCACTCCCAATGGTCTGCCAGAAGTATATTTATGCATTACTTGCTAAGATCAGATGCTTGCTGCTCATGCTCATGCCACGCCAATAGCTTGCTCGCTTGATCTAAATCCAATTGATAGTGTTCCATTCACTGATCCTAAGCTGTATCGCAGTGTTGTTGGTGCTCTGTAATATGTTTGTTATACTCGTCCTGATATTCAGTTCACTGTTAACAAGCTGAGCCATTTTATGGAACAACCTGCCATTCTACAGTGGACTTGTGTTAAGCGTCTGTTGCGTTATCTTAGTGGTACGAGCACCTCTGGTCTTCTTATCAAGCCTCTCACTCAGTATTGTGTTCAAGCTTTTGCGGACGCGGATTGGGGTGGCAAGGATGAAAATGAAATTAGTAAGTCAACAAGTGTTTTCTGTACTTACTTCGGACCAAATCCCATTGCTTGGTTGTCTCGAAAACAGCAAGTTGTGGCTCGATCTTCCACGGAGGCTGAGTATCGTAGTGTCGCAGACTGTGTTTTTGGAGTATTATGGCTCACGTCTCTTCTTAAGGAAATGTATATCACTGTTGACAAAACTCCTTTTATCAAGTGTGATAACTCTGGCATTGTTGCCTTGTCAGCTAATCCCATTCTTCAGTCAAAAAACAAACGCGTTGGGCTGGATCTCCATTTCATTCGTGAGAAAGTTGAAGCAGGTTTGGTCTCCGTTGGTTATGTTCCTGCAACGTTTCAAGTGGCAGGCGTTTTCACTAGAGCTCAAACTGCAGCTTTGTTCGTTTATTGTAAATCCCAAGTTGAATGTTGTCTCTCACGAAGAAGCCACGACTTCTAATCTTGTTCCCCCCTGAGTTTTTTTTCCCCCCCTTAAGCAGGGGGGATATTTGTATACGAGCTTCAAGCCCAAGTCCATTAAGTGTTCAATTGTACTGTTAAGCTGTTATGAGTTTTGTTATAACTAATTCAAAAGAGTTGTTGTAAGCACGACTATATAAGAGTTCATTATGTAATACTGATGATTAAGTAATAATACAGAGAGATTCAGAAAATATTAGTTTTATCTGTGTTAACTCTGATAGCCTACGCCACTTGCCAAGCATGAGACAATACTCGACCTGTCAGTTAATTAACATAACTTGTCAACCCTTCATTTCTTAGAGCTGGTCAATTTCACAACACAATTTCTCTCTTTCTTTGTTTACTTTAAAGATATGAAATTAATTAACGAAGCAATACTATAAAGAAAATGATTTTCAAAATATAAGTTTTAAGAAAGGTGTTGTCGCATAAGTTAAGAAATACAATTAATATGTTATATTTTTTATTTCCAAATTTACCTATAATTTATTATATGATTAATAAAAAATAGTAAATTTTTTTTGGTAGAAATAAAAAATAGTAAATTTTGTATCTATGAATGTGACAATGATATTATAAATAAGAGGGAATGATAATAAAGGACCAAATTAAACTTAAAATAAGCACTAAAAATTTGGTAATTTGAAATAAGGACCAAAAGTCCTTTAATGAATTAGCCTAAAACAAAAATTTACAAGTGAAATTTGCTAATTTATAAAGAAAAAACTTGTTAAATATATCACTAATTGAAAAATTATTTTCATTTATAAATTAATAAATCTTACTTGCAGATTTGTGTTTTGAGGGTTGCAGCATATGAATTTATAAGAGTAGTAAATTGTTAAAAATGATTATATGTATGACAAGTTTTTTTCTTTACAAGTTAGCAAATTTTACTTGCAAATTCTTGTTTTAGTGCTTGCAAACCATGAAATGAAAAAGAAAAAAATTGTTAGACCAATCCATTAAAGAATCTTTAGTCCTTATGTTAGATTTTCAAATCTTTTGATCCTTATTTAAGTTTAGTTCAATATTTTGATCCTTTAATATCATTCCTATAAATAAAGGTTTAGTGAAAAGAAATCAATAAATACTGTACCATAATTTTGAAAAAAAAACATGTAAAACAAAATAATAATTTTATTAAAAAAAGTTACTCCCTCCACTCAATATTCAATATTATAAAGTATTTTTAACTAAATTATAATATCAATAAAGTACTTAATTGTCTTCAAAATCATACACTCTTTACATGTTACTCTTATTTAATAAAATGTTTCAATTAAAAAATATATTAATTACGTTCTTAATTAAGAATATTTTTGAAATAATTTATTAATTTTTTTGAAAGACTCAAAATATCACATATTTTTTTAATATAATATTTAAATTTTTTATAATATTAAAAAGAGGGAGTATATTTCAATGGAGGGAGTGTGCATCAAGTATCAACATCTTATTCTTATTCTTATTTGTAAATGGAATATAATCAATGATATCACATAATTTAAGGTTGGCCTTGATATCAAAGAAAAGTGTAAAAGACAGAACTTTATAACAATAAATAAACACAGAAAATTAAAAAAAGGAGGGAATTTATGAAATATAGGCAATAATGATGACATGGTGGGAAATGGGAATGATGAAGGAGCAAGGAAAGCGGGAATGATTACACAGCTCAGAAGTGTCACATTTACAGACATGTATGCAAGAGAAGGTTGACTCATGAGCATTACAATCCAATTTACAACTCATGATCATGAGTAATGAAGTAGACAATTACTTACGTTCTTGGACCTTATTACAATTGTCAAAGAATTTTATTACAATTTTCAAAAATATTTAATATAATTTTTTTTTAAAATTATGAAAAAGAATTTAATCAAAATCTACAAAATAAACCAATCCTTAACAGACTAGAGCTTAAAAAGCCCATTTCTACTTTGAACTTCTTGATCTACATAGCTCGACCTTAGAGTTTGCAAACTTAGTAAAGTTTTAAAATCTTTTAATTTTTTTTATATTTTTAAATTAAATATATAAAAATAAAAACAATTAGATAAAAATTAAATATTAACATATTAAAATAAAAAATTATTGTTCAAATTTCCGAAATGAAACCAAATAAAGCTAAATAAGTTAAATAAGGCTTCTCTAAATATTAATAAAACAATAACACCAGAGTATTAGAAGTATCATCATGATAATCATTATCATCTTTAATATTAACAATATTTGGTTGTACTTCATTATGAATTGGCTTTTAGGTGACAAAAATATTTAATTTTTCTTTTTAATTTAGGCTAGAATTTTTAAATTTCTTAATTTTTTTTCATATTTGAGTCCTCTCCCTCATTATGTATTCAATATTAATAATTTTTATATATATAAAAAATATAAATAGGTTAGCCATTGGCCCAAAAGAGCCAATCTGTTCATTTTTAAACTCATTAAGGTCGCTTTGATCAAGCCCCAGCCCGATTAAGCATCAGTAGACCTAAAATAAATTTTGTAATATCACTTGAACAGGGCTTACCACGTTTTCCTTGTTCTTAATCAGTAAATTAATTAGAGGAAATGACCCGATCCAAAATCTTCAATTGTTGTTCCACAATCTGCATTTTTCTTCCATGTTCGGCAAAGATCATTTTTTCCAATTAATTTACTTATCAGGTACACTTCTCCAAGTTTTGAATTTGCGTTTTAGCTATTCTAATGTGAAACAAATATGTGAAGATATATTCAACTATTCAGATCTACTGGGTATGATGTGATTAGTGTGTTTATGGACAGTCAGTCATAATCTTATGGTGTAACCTGATCTATTAGCTTAAAGCTTATTGTCTATTTGCTAATAAAATTGGTTTTCCATCTGTGGAATATTCCCTGACAGAGAAGCAAGTAAGTTTAGCCTAATATTCCCTGATCCATTTTTTCATAGTCTGAATTTAAAAGAAGAAGAAAGAAGAGAAGAGTCATGGCAGGCAAAGCTGCTGGTTCAGTGACGAAGGCTGTAGGTGGATATCAGTATCCATGGCGTGAGAAGTTGGCAAAGTATAAGGATGAACTTGCCAAGGGTGTCTGGGGATACTGGGAGCTCGGAGCATGGAAACCACTTATTAGTGCTCGCCGTAGGGCTCGGTTGCGCAAGGAAGTGCTTCTTGCTGGGGAAGATTGGCCATATGATCCGGAGAGGAAGGAGATGAAAACCAGAAGAAAAGGACATAAATGTGACAGGATAGCTGCAGAAAAAAGGGAGAACACTGCAAGATTGATGGAGAAGATGCCATACATGTTGCTGGATTACAAGAAGCGCAGGTGGGAGAAGAAGATGAAGGAAGAAGACAAAGGCAAATAGTAACTTTTCTGTGCAATTTTGCTCTGTGCTTACTTCTTCCTATTTTTTTTATTCCATGGCTTGGAATCTTGAGAAACCTAAAGATATTACCACTACTCATCCAGACTAATTCAAACTTCAGTTGTGTGAGAGTGTTATTATCAACAGTAGTCTCACATGTATCTCTAAGATGCTTTTGTCATTTTAATTTAATATGACTACATATTTTAAGATTAGAATCTAAAATCCTAATATAAGCTGATTCCAACCAGTTGAACCTAGAATGTCTCAGCTAGTGCTTCTGGATTTTAGCTTAGAATTTGGTGATTTCCTTCCCACATTGCACTGTTTGTTTTTTGTGTATGTATCAATTTAGAAGAACCTTTTGGAAGACTGACCTTGTGGCTATTTCTTGTGGTCCATTATCTTTGCAAATTCTTCAATCAACCCAAAAGTGAACTTAGGAATAAGTGCTTCAATTTCTGTCTTGGACTTGGGCTCCTCTTGATAATTGGCAGTGGTTTACTCTTCCTCTCCACAATACCAGTTTTTTTGAGCTTTTTGTTGGTTCAAAATATAAGTTTCAAACAATATTATATGTGTGTGTGTGTTTGTATGTATGTATAAAGTTTAGTTTGACAATTTAGAGCATTTAATTTTTTTTCCTTTCCTATTTTGTACTTGTATATAATTAAATATTTTGAGTGATTAATGCAATGGCAATTAAGGACCTCCTAAAAAGTCAACACTAAATTAGGACTTTTTAAAGATTTTCAATCGTAAAATATAAGAGATGAATATTGAATCTAGAAACTTGAGTCACAGTCAGATCTTAATTTAGAATTAAATTTCTTGTGAGGTTATTAGTTGTCATTCTCTGTCTTTTTTTATTACAATTTTTTTTTTTTACGTCTTTAACAAGTTAACTTCTATCTAACTTTATTGTTCTTTGTGTTAATAGAAAACTTGAACTTATATTATGGATCGAAAGAAAGAGTATATAGTTGTGATATTGAGAAGATTTATTTTTATTTTTTTATCTTATACGTGATATGAAAAGTGGTATGAATGTTAAAAAGAGAATTTGATTTTAGTGATGCTGGTAACATTTTAATCTAGTTTTGTTGAAAAGATTTCCATAATTTGACTATTGCTTTTTCACAACGTCATTCAACTTGGCTTTTAGAACAACGTCATTCTATTTCTTGCAATAGATTGGTTGAAATGAAGTTAAATAATATTAGAAATATTAGAAGTCGCTTAAAAATTTTAAAATCTAAAAAAATCATTATGAAGGTCCAATTTCAACCTTACCCTGTGAATGGAATGAGTCAATATATTTATATTTATATTTATATTTATATTTATATTTATATTTAGTTTTGCATTAAACAATAGCATGACATGCTTTGCTATAACTAACTTGCGGTCTAGAAGCTGCACATATTTGAACTGCCTTTAGTCAAATAATTAAATAAATGAAACAAATCCGAAGTCAGAAATGCTTTCGAAAAATAAGAGCTTCGGTTTCTAAGCTCCTCTTACTAATTGGTATTTGGTCTACAAAGTTTTCAATTGACCAAATATATATATTTCTTCTTAAAAAACACAAGACTTTTTTAATTTTAACAAAATTTTATTTCTAATAAAATAGTTGATTGTTTTTAAATTAACATAATTTTTTATATTTATTTTTATTTAATAGAGTATTTTACTTTAAAATAAATATAAAATAATTTTTTATTATGAAAACTTTTTGAAAAAAAATTAATTATACTTTGAAATAAAAAAATATTTTATATTTTTTGACATCCAACCTTTTAAAAAAGTTATAAATTTTTGAACGGAGGAGTGTGATGTATGGATAAAATGTTTTATTTATTTTAAATTTTATAAGTAATAGACATAGTACAACCAAAAAAACCAAAATCATCCTTTCTGTTGTATCTTAGACATGATATTCAAAGAAAAAATGATAGTTAAATCTTAAAACAATAAAATAGTAACAGTTAATTTTTGACAATTTTTTCAAAAATAAGTTGCAAACATTGATTTAAAAGATTACAAACAAATCCAAAATATAATGTAAGAGTTATATTTAAAAATTAAATATCTTATATATAATTAAAATTCTTAAATTTATAATTATTTAAATTAATATTTTTGACTTATTTTTTAAAGAATTTATCAAAAACATCACTCTCATTTATTTAGACATGATATTTAATGGACATTTTTGCTCATCAACTATTCACTCAAGAATGTTTGGTATTGTAAACTAATACGTGGTGCAACTTTCCCTACAATATTGAAAATAGTACACCGACACCCTGATGTTAAAATATTAATTTTAATTATTAATTGGCTCAAAAAATACCTCAAATGTTACAGAAAAAGGTCTAGAAAATTACATAAAAGTACGCGGTAAAAAATTATTAATTTTTTTAATTATAGAAAACAAATATAATATTTTTTAATTATTTATTGTATTGTTACCTGTAATTGTGATCCATTAATTATCCAGTATTCTGATATTTATGTGTAACTTAGAAAACTCATTAATTTTCTTATAGTGACTTATGAGTAATGTTTTGATAATTTTTTATAATTTTTTGGATCAATTAATTAATTTTGTAACAGTAATATGTGCAGCACACTATCTTCAAATGATGAAATTGTATAACATATAAATTTAAAATTTTAGATACTCCTGAACAAATGAGCAAGAACAAAAATATCCTTCAACGCATTTAAAACTTTGGAGCCTAGCTTTCATTTCTTCCATATTCAAATGGTACAGATACAGAGTAGTACGTGGCTTGTCTTGTTCTCCTTGCAAAGGAGTGACCACGTGAAGTACACACCAAAAACTAGCAAACAAGTCAACTAGGCCGGTGCCACATGTTCAATCGCTGTTTCATTTTTTTCAGAATATATATTAAATCTAAAATCTTAACTGATTGCGTGACACGCGCATATGTAACATCATTTCGGAATTGGGATAAGATGTCAGTGCTCAGTACTCACAGCATTATAAATTGGGAAAATTGTCCGCAAGGACCAAAGGGCCCATATATTGGGGCATAAATCCCAAATGTAAAAATAAAACCTAATGAAATTATCAAATATCCTTTTTTTTTTAAAAAAAATGCACTTGTTTCCAGAATACAGATGTTTAAAGATTCATAGATGACTTCAACAAACCAATGCAACAAAAACGGTATTGTTATTTTCTCTCAAAATGTATTATCCTCCTATGATCATGGTCCCATTTGCGTTTTATTTCTGTATTCATAACTTATGACCAAATATTTGGAGTTTTTGGTCCTTGTGGGCTGTGGTCCATTTTCACTTATAAATTTTAAAATAAAAAAAAGGACATCAATAATTAATTCCTGATTGTAGGGATTACTATTTTATTAAATGAAATTTTACAAACAAAGACCCCACTCTTCCTGTTTGATTTTTTCGCCCCATTTATTACGCGATTTCCTTTATGGTCCAGTTTGAATATTAATTAGTTTTATAGGATTATTTTTCTTCAAAAATCATAATTCCTCCATTCAAAAAATATAAGACATTTTTAATCAAATCTCACCCCTCAATAAAATAATTTTTTATTTTTTAACTAATCATATCTTTTCATATTTACCTCTAGTAAATATCCTACAATAAATATAAGGTCATTATTAACAGGGGCACTTTTAAAAAAAGACAATGATTACATCTTAAAAGATTTAAAAATGTCTTATATTTTTAAAAATCTAACTCCTTAAAAAATATCTTATATTTTTTAATAAAGGGAATATATGATTACCATGACAACCTTTAAAAATTCAATCTTTCAATTTTATTTTATATTTTAAATCAATTTCTTAACTTGATATTATGTAAAAGTAATGCATAATTAATAAGTGTTTACAATTTTAGGAAATGATATTTTTATATGGATGCTTTTTTAAGAAAATATATTATAGAAGAAGGTATGTTAGTAAATAAAGTTAATTTTTTACGCAATTTTGTTCTACTTTTAAATTATTAATTTTATGCCCTACTGTGTCTTGCTCTAGTATTATGGGTAGCTCATGCGAGCTCAGGTTTGGAAACCATTTTACTTTAAAATCAATCATTTCTCCAAACAAAATCCTTAAAGATCAAGCTATTTTTAAAATTGATTTATCATTATAATATTATATATTTATATTCTAAAGTATAGATTTAAATTTCAAAAATTCAAAATAAATAATACAAATGCTAATTTTATAGTACAAACACGCAATTTAACGTTTAAATTTAATTCAAAGAGATAAAATACTGCAATTTTTAAGCTTAGAATAAATATAGATTTAAATGGGTAGATCAAGCCTTATGTTTAGGACTTAAAAAAGCCGGACACATAAGCTCTTTCATGGAAAAATACTCTAATTTTGCAAAGTCAAAGACTAAAAGAAATGACGTAAATGAGTAACTTTGATAAACCCAACCTGCAAATTTAATTCAAAGGGATAAAATACTGCAATTTTTAATGTTAGAATAAATATAAAGATTTAAATAGGTAGATCAAGCCTTTCTGTTTTTTTTAGGGCTTTAAGAGGCCAAACTCATAAGCTTTTTTATAAAACAAAAAATGCTCTAATTTTCAAAGTCAAAGACTAAAAAAACTTGTATAAATGAGCAACTCGATAAACCCAATCTGTAATTTTAATTTAAAGAGATATAATATTACAATTTTTAAAGTTAGAATAAATATAAATTTAAATAGGTAGATCAAGCCTTTTTTTAAGGCTTAAAAAAGTGAAAACTCAGAAGTTATTTTATAAAAAAATGTTCTAATTTTAAAGTCAAAAATTAAAAGAAAAGATGTAAATGCTTAGCTTGATCAACCCAACCCAACCCGTATTCATTCAATTAAAATTAATCAGGCTTTAATTTAGGGTCAAAATCTTTGAGATTAAAAGAAAGTGATTTCAATGAGGCTAAACATGATAAAATTGTTTGAAGTATGATGGAATTGAAAAAACTTAAACTAAATTCACGAGGGATTTGTCAAAAAATTTAATAGGTTATTTAAAATAGTATATAAAAAAGTTAAAACTATATTTTTTTAACAAAACTTTTATGATTAGCTTAATGATTTCTCAACATTTCAAGTATTAAACTTAATTAAAATCCATGGATATTAGGGAGGGGAGAAACGAGCAAAGCCCAATTTTCATGTGGGGCATATCATACTATCACATTACCTTTTCAGCATGTTGATGAAAGAAGTGATAATAAATGAGTGATGGGTTGGCCGCCGTTGTTTTTTTTCCCCCCTCA